CAGGCCATAAAGCCAAATATCTGGTTCGAGGTCAAGCTGAGCATTCGCCATTGTAGCCATTCGATTGTCCATATTCATTAGGATGGGGGCTACGAAGCCCAATCCCATCTGGGCCCAAAGTTTGTAATTCAATCTACCACCATACATGTTTTAGATAATTCATTCGTAGACGTATACATATCCAGTTGTCAATCCAAGATAAAGTCGTCGTACCTAATTTCACATTCTTCTTAAAAATGTCACTTGGAGTGATACCAATTTATAGAGGGTGTCCCCACATTAAATTTGAGATGAGAATAATTTTATATCATGGTTCAAGCGATTTTCCATTGTTGATTCATCATCTATATAATGGTTTGCGGCATCCCTACATAAATTTTGAGATGAGCACAATTCAGATTAACATGTCATTGAATGTCAATGAATCTCAAATGATCTAGGAGTTTCAGAAGTTTGAAACTGACAACATGGGAGAAGCTTCTTTAGGGCCAGAAGGGGTTGTGCACCATCCCCCCACCCACCCCAGTTTGTTTTATTATTAATATTAATATTATTATTAATTTTTTTTGTTATAAGTAGTCCATACCTATTAAAGTTTATACATATTAGGCCTAAAAATATAAAATTTGGGTTTTGCCCATTCCTGTTCTCCAATTTTTATACATATTATACCCCCCCCCCCCAATCAAAAGGTCAAGCTCCGCCACTGACTGGCAAGTTGTTTTGCCTACCTAAATAACTTTTGTTGTGTTTTTACGACATCCCTTTACACATCGCTAAACCAAATATGGATCCCAACCTTCTTAATAATTCATTTAGGGTTGAAAATTATTTTAAAGGAAAATTCGAACTAACTAAATTCAATTTCATCTTATTGGAAGCCGCTGAATCTGACATTCTCAAAGACCCAACCATGTTCTTTCTTTGGCTAATGGAAATGGTTATTCTAATGAGAAGAAGGAACTTTCTATTCTACATGAAAAGAGAAGGAAAAAGATTAATTCCTTTAATCAAGGCCACAAAAGAAAGGCGAATTTCGTTATTGCTCACAACCATGACAGGAGTGAGGCCACTTGTTTTCACTATTTTGAAATTGGCCATTGGAAACGTAACTGCCCAAAATATCCTAAGGGCGTGAAGAAGAACAAAGCTAAAGGAGCTGCCACATCCGGTATTTTTATGATTGAACTTCATAATATGTCCACTTCTAATTCTTGGATCCTTAAATACAAGATGTGGTACTCATGTAACGATCCGAAAATCATTCATTTAACGATGTTAATGTTCTGTTACAAGATTATTAAGCAATGTCAATTTATTTTGATTCTTAGGGTGTAGAATGAAATAAATAAAATAAAAATAATGTTAAATAATATCTAAAAGATCAATCAATAATTAAAAGGTAAAAACTTAATTAAATGGAATTATAGTAAAAATAATTCATTAATAGGGTCTAAATGATATTGAGGGGCTAAAGTGACATTAAAGAAACTATTAATGTTAACTTGTCTAGGGTTAGGGTTTTAAGTGTAAAAAGCCATAAATTTAGGGAGCAATTACAGAAACGAACAAAAAGATCTCTAATTCAACCTAATCGACATGATTTCTTGAATGCGTTCGTTTTCTTCTTTGGTCTACTACATGCGTTCTTGAGGTCGAACCAAGAAATTCATGGGCTGTTGTTTTATTACTGCAGCGATCAGGAGTAGGAATGGAAAAAAAAAACCCCCACGACCGATGTCTTAATGCTTCTGGCCATCTCATGTGTTTGGGCTACCATATGAGGTTCAAGAGAGCCTCCTGATCGATGCACGGGTTTCACTACAACAACGTCGACAGAATGAGAGATATATAGCTAGCGAGAGAAATGAGTTGGAGAAGAGATGCAGTAGGAAGGATAGAACGAAGGAGACAAAGAAGGAAGTTTGTTGTTGTGTTGTTGATTTTAATTGCTTCATGTATGTTATTCTTGTTTATTAATCTTCCTAGCATCAATCTACCCTAAACACAACCACAACCCACCGTTGTTAGCCTCTTTACCACCAGATCAACTATGTATGTATGGTGGTTCGATTCCATCCCATAGGGATGTGCTTCTTGGTCATTTATTGTTTTTTTTCATGAGTTTCTTGGTATAAGAAAAGTTCCTTGTGTTGTCTTCTCTATTGTAACAGTCTATAATGTTGCAAAGAACAGCCACAAAGACCCAACCTTCTGCCTTACTTCATTCATGAATAAGTCTATGTGGTTGCTGAAAAGTAGATTAACACATGGAATAAATGTATGACTTACTTCTGTTATTGAATCTATATACGAACCTGTTATGATATAGAAGATAAAAATTGGTGTATATATACAGTTTTGATGTAACATCCGGAACCTTGGGGGTATTTAAATTTAATATATTTTGGATTTTGGGTAGTCCCACGTCGAGGTGGAGGCACCCCACGACGTGGTAATGGTGGATGTACCACGAGTTTTAAATGACCTCCACGACGATGCATCTTATGGCCACAACGTGGCAGTTGTTTAATGAGAAACCCTATTTTCCGGGTTTGCTCCCTATTTAAAGGAACGAGGAGGCTAGGGTTTCCTCATCCCCAACCTCCATGAACCCCTCCAGCCCTAAAGAAAACCCAAATCACTTTCCTCCCTTATTGAGCTAGTTTGGTGTTCTTTGAAGCTAAAGAAGAAAGGAGGAAGAAGGAAGCATGGATCAGGCAAGCAAGTCTCAATTTTTCACCTTAGCACTCGTCTAGAACTTTATAAGTATCCAAGACTCGATTTTATCATGATAGGTTGTTAGATCTTGAGTTTTGGCCCTTAAACTTCTTGTTATTGTTAGTTGGGACGATGAGATCTCATAAAGTTTGGAACTTTATGAATCTCTGGGATATTTGGTATAATTTGTGCCTTGGATCTGGAGTTTGGTTGGGTTTTCAAGCCATGAATGAGATTTAGGTCATAAACCCTCATTTTGACCTAATATGGGTTCAAGACATGCATTAGACATGTATGTCTATAAAGCACCAACTTTTAGGTTAGTTTTGGTGCTAGAATCACTTCTTGAAAGGATGGACTTTGGACTTTATGGAATAAGTGCTTATTGGTTAAGTCCTTGCATTATTAAGCCATTTGGAACTTGGAGAATTCGGTTTTGGACCTTTTGGGTGGTCCTAATAGATAAAGTTGGAAACTTTATCCATTTAGATCACATTTTGGACCAGATCTGAGCTTTGGAGCTCTTGGAATCAAAGAAAATAGCTTAATGCATTAAGCTATTTGGGATCTTAGCTACCACGGCGTGGGCATAGATCACCACGACGTGGCGGCTGGGAATTTCCCCGACTATTTGGTTGTACGTAGCAACTACTAGAAAAATAGCCTTTAATGACATGCATTGCGTGTCATAAAAGGTACAGATAACACACAAATGCATGTCAAGGAATACCCTGTCATAAAGGAAGACGACACACATTTGTGTGTCGTAACCTTACGATACACATTTACGACACGCATTGCGTGTCAAGGAAGCCCCTGTCATATAGGAAGACGACACACATTTTTACGTCTCATAATTTTAAGGTTTTTAAAAAAAAAAATTTATAAATTTACTAATTTTCAAATAATATGGCAATTAATGTATCATAATCTAAAATAACATATCATATAAAAAAGAATCCGTTTCACAATATATAATATTTCAAATATAAATAATCATTATAATGCTAAATAAATGTAATACATTGATACTAAGGGTCTTTCCCTAACTATATAAGTTGGTAGTACATTGTCATACAATTATGTTGCATAATTTTTGTGTTTTTTCTAGAGCAGAACACTTCTAAAGCCATTTCTATCGTTATAGCTCCAACCAAGACTTTTTCCATTGACTGCACGAATATTACGTGTGAATTAGTTCCATATAGAAAAATAAAGAAAGAAAAGGTCTTGTTGTTCTCAAAACAATGATAAATACTTCCATAATTACAGGCAATAACAGAAATCTATATCCACAGGTGAAGTTAGTGGCATGACTTGTTGTATAAATGAACTAAAATGTGTTACCTGTGTCCCAGGAACAAGAACATGCGACACTTCAGAGGCAACCACCTGATAAAAACCAAAAGAAGTTATCTTATATTAATGACACAAGTTTATTCCATTTGATAACCAATGAAAAAAACATTAAATAAACATTGGTGAAGTTTCTAATGTTCAAAATTTTGTAACTTTTAGATTTATTGGTATTAAAACACACCTGCAACGTTTGTGCACTTAGTGCACAAATAATTTTCCTAGTTCCCATAATACCCTTGCTGCAGGTATGCACAATTCAATCTTAAATGGCTTATTTTGTTATATACTATTAAGAACACTCAAAACGCCTTCAACTGTAATCTCATTAATATGCCACATTATGGGACAAAAGTAAACCAATAAATAAAACATTCACAATCTGTGCACATTTACTAGCTTCGCTGATGCTAATCATTTATTCAGCCGAAATCTACCATTTTAGAGAGTGATAAAATTAATTTTTTTAAGTGAATAAATTGGATTTTATAAAATAATAATTTTTTTTTAAAAAAAAACTTATTATTTTCCCATAAGGGAAATCACTGCCAATGCCAACAGTAGCTGCCATTGCAGTCTCACCACTGCCACTAGGACCTTCTAGAAGAACTATGACAAGTGGACCACCTCTACTAACTTTGACTGGTTCTGCTAAGGCTAAGAGGTATCCTCACGCGTGAGAAGGGAAGAAAAAAAGCCCACGTCATTATTTAACCATTCCACAACCAACCCATTAGGTTGTGGAAATGGTGTTCACTAGTGAAGTGGTGGTGAAGAAGAGAGAGATTATAGAGAGAGATAGACACAAAGAAATTATCCACCAATCACAGCCATCGTCTTCTTCCGTAGTGGGTACCACGCCAAAAGACACCCACCCATCTTTGGGGAGGTGTTCACGCGTAGCCTACAATGCCACGTAGGCACTACGCGTAGGCTGACCCGATCCATACTGCATCGCCTAATAGCATTGTCCTTTTGAAGATGTGATCATGTTTTTGACCACATTCAAGTATTCCATTCAGTCTGCATCATTCATTTAAATTTTTATTTATTAGAAAAAATATATACAAAAAAAGTTGAGATAATTGTTATACCTGCAGCGTTCAAGGCCATCCATGGAAGCACCAAATGCAAGAATAACTTCATAAAGAGCATTCAAGAAATCATCCATGGTGACTTTTATGCTTTCCTCATCTACTTTTTTGGTAGTATCATCAAGGGTGAGCTAGCGATTCAGAGCATAAGAAACTGCACTTTTCACAACACCTTAAATTTCTGCTCACTGTAGTTCGTTGTTCTTGCAACTGTCCTCCATTAAATTACAAATCATTACATATATGATATATTTACATGTAATTATATATATATATATATAATATATATATATATATATATATATATATATAAACATACCAAGTTCTTGTAAGTTGACATCTGGAGCAAGGAAAGAATTCTCTTTCATCTTGTTTGTATGAAAATTAAAAAGTGTTGGATTATTAAAATATGAAATTAACATACCTTGCAATTTGCATCAATTTCATCAAAAATGATCACATGTAAGTCACTTTGATCCCCTGTAAAAATATGAACAAAAAGTTAAAAAATGAAACAAACTTGTATAAAATTAAAGATTTTTTAATCCTATCTCGTGATCTTTGATCTTGTTCAGCATCAGCAAATAAGCCCCTTACATGTTTTTTTCAGTTTCACCAACAAATTTACTCAACACTTCAGGCCCATTTACAATCTAATTTGTGGAATCAACCAAAACAAAGAAATCAAATTAATAATATTTTTATTTCCAATATGTTTTTAATGTAAGACAAAAGGTAAATACATGCATAAAATAAAGTACCTTTGGGTATCTTCCATTTAACATCTTTCCAGTTTGACGAGCCATTAGAGTCTTCCGAGTCCCAGGTGGACCATATAACAACATTCCCTTAACATGCTTTACACCCAATCTGACACATAAAAAATCATAAAAATATTTCAAAGAAAATGTTATATAGATGAGATATTGATAGAATTATAGGACATTACTTACTTGCCACATGTGGAGGGACAACCCTACAGGAAAAAGCTCTTCTAAAGATATCTGCAAATTCATTGCTCAAACCACATATGCCCAATGATTAAAGGTTAAACTCCTTGTGCCTAAAGATATTGCTTCTAGCAGCCACACGTTGATTCACCAATCTGAAAACAAAGAAAAAAATTATTGCACAACAAACAAACACAAGGGTATTTACTATTTTATTGACCAGTTATATGGAAAATAATACCTTTATCCCACTAGAGTTTGAGGCTTCAAAGACAATGTACGAATCAGATGAAAGCATGCCTCTTTCAATGTCTGTTTTGTCATGGCTTTCCACATCAACTTGGGTGACTTTGAAGATATAACCATTGCCAATAAAATCAAAAGTTACCATTTGTCCAGTTGTCATAACCTGGTTAATAAATCTTTCACATATCTTTTGAGCTAAAAAAATAGCATCAACCTT